GTACCTGTCCTTCTGTAGGCCCCATCCTAGGCTGGGGCTGAGAACACTGGGGATTGGTGCCAAAGGGGTTGGGGGCAAAAGAGACAAGCCGGTGAAGGGTCCCCTGGATCTGATCTCCAACTCAACTGTAGTTTTCTGGAACAGAGTGTCCCTTCTTGCCTGGGGCCAGGGCACAGGCTCCTGGCACTGGCCGAATAGGTTACTGTGGGCTACTAAGACAAGACAGCAATCTGTAAGGCCCTGCCGCTGTTCCCAGCCTGGCCACAGGGGGGCACTTGATCTCTGAAAAGCAGCTCAATCTGAGCAGCTCCTGCAAGGACCGGAGCTTCCTCCCACCCTCCCACTCCCCACTGCTGAACTGCCTGGAAGAGCAGTGCCTGCTCCCACCCCTACCCCTAGCTCTTTGTCCCTTCCTTCCTTTTCTAAACCTTTTACTTTGAAATAACTAGACTTACAGATGAGTTGCAGAGATGGTACAGTGTCTGTATACTGTTCACCCAACTTCCTCTAATGTTTAACATCTTATATAACCATGGTTCTACCCCCTTTTTATGCCCTACTTTCTGGAAGAAGCCAGATGCCAGGAAGGCCCATGTGGCCTGAGTAGGGAACACCTACTCTCGATTCTTCTCTGCCTCAGCTCCTGCTAGTGAGGCTTCAAGTACCCAGGGAGGAGGGTGTGACCAAGGACCTGGGCGGCCAGGGCGGGAGCTCTTGGGCACATTCACTCACTGGGTGGCAAAGATGGGGACAGGCGGCAGAGTAGAAGGTGAGGAGCAGTGGCCCCCAGGGTGGGGCGGTAACCTGGGGCGGACTAGGCCATGCGGCTCAGTGCAGCAGACACCCTCTGGAGGTGCAGTACCCAGACTCTCCAGCTAGGTAAGGCGTCTAGGAAGACAGTTGTAAAATATGCCATTTCTGGGCCCCACAGTGGCTGCTGTGAGGAACGGTGTGGCCTTCCTCAGAGCTTTCTTTTGAGCCAGTCACCCCGCTTTGGGTGACAGAAAAGCAAGGAAAACACAAGTCACTCTTACTTCAGACACTCCCCTACTTTACCACTCCCCCGCCACCTTCTCAGCAGCTTGGGGGCAGAGGTTCTGTCCTCAGCTAATAGAAAGGAAGAAGTCATAAAGGCTTTGGAGGACTTGGTGTTCCAGGAAGTAGCTGACTCGGGTCCCTGAGATATGTCCAGCATTAACCACCCCTATCAAGGTTTGACGCAGCCCTCTGGTCTGAAGTCCTCTGTTCTGTAGACTATTTCTACCCTCTGCAGGAACTGTCTGGGAGTAATGAGCTCAGAGTCCCTGGTTTCAGAGTATGTCATGTGAAATACACCCCGGCAAGGACAAACGACTAGAGGAGAAAGGTGATAGAGGAAGCAAGATTGGGACATTTTTGTCTCCTAAGGTGCCCGAGTTCAGAGTTTCTGGGAAAAGGAGAAGCAGTGACGAGACGGGTGTCCCAACACCTGTGCCACAGGGCTGTGACGACTGAGTGATGCTGTGTATGGGAGGACCTCTTACACAGCAAACCAACCTCGAGCTGGACCTCAGGCTGGATCAAGCAGACTATTTCCAGAGCTGGTAGGGGAGGGGGCCCTTCTGTCCCAGGGACAGCAGAGCTAGTGGCCTGGTAGGGAGAATACAGGAAGGGATTACTCAAGAGGTCTGCAGCCAGTTGTGTCCTCGGTTTCCCTATCCAGAGCTGCCCATGTGGACAGATGGCAGGTGACACCCTGTCTGGGGCTTTCCTGCTGCAGTGACTCCAGGGTCTGGAGTGCCCAGGCCTTCAATGGGTGGGGTGGGCTGGGCTCTGGCTGGTGTGAGGAAGGACTGTCATGGATCCCATTTACTCCTGGTCCCTTTTCTATCCCAGTTAGATCTGGGCAAGGCTGGCTTGCCAAAGGTCTTAGTTCAGAGGCTGCCTCTGGCTGGTTGTAAGAGACCTAACATCTGTGAGCCTTGAGTTCCTTACCTATGAGTAGGAACGCTGATAACACCTATCTCAAGGTGAGCGTTAGGACTAATCGGGTAATGTACCTTATCAGGCCTCAGAACACACAGGCGTCTCCTTTGACTAGGCTTCCCTGGTGGCGGGTCTTGTCTCCCAGACCCAGAACAACTTTGCCCATGTTGCTGAGTGGAACCAAATGAAAGCAGCTGAGATTAAACCTGTATCCAGAGAGAAGGGAAAGGGATGTCTGAGAAGGGCAGCTGATACAATGGGAGGACTTGGGAAAGCTCACTACTAACCCAGTGTATCCTAGCTACTATACCAGGCTCCGGAGAGGAGGCTGCTAGGAGAGGAGGTATAAAAATAGGTGTACAAAAACAGAACTGAAAGAAGACTGCCAAAGGACTGGTTTAATTTATGAGATTCATGTGTCCATGAATTTTCAAAAAGTTTAAAATCCTTACTGCATGTAACTGAGTTTGATGATGGTGGTGGTTTTGGGATTTTCTAAAAAAGTGGCCACAGATTCTCTGAGGCAAGGCTGACCATCAGCCATTTTAAGTGTATCCTTATGAGAAGAGGCTGATGTCAGCTACAAGTCAGCTGACAAGTAGAGAGTTAGGATCTTCTTGACCTGTGGATTTGCTGCATGCAAATCTCTTTAACAGAGTGCTTAGTTTTGACAAGGGCTCAGATTTCTAACTCCATTCGGAGAAAAAGTAAGAGTGTCAGGCTCCAGCCATCCCTGGTTTTCATCCCTGCCTTCCACTGCTTTGTGTGAAAGCGTAGAGGTTGAGGCACATTCTACACTGTGCATTGCCCAGGTAAGAAAAACTAAGATTCTTGGTTACTCTTTTAGGTCCTAAAACCCATTTTTAGGAAATTCTGGATACTCTCTCGGGAGATGGTTGAGCTATATCTGAAGGGACTGCCCCCTCCACCCCCCGCCATGTCCCCTATAGGGTACGAGATATAGTGCTGCCTGGTTTATAAACCAAGTTGGGTTAGCCAGTTCTGGCCACCTTGGTGCGAGGCAGCTGTACAGGTTCCCTAGTGCTTGTCCCTGCAGGGATGAGTGTCCCGAGGAGTTCAGCCACCCCTCCTCCATTCATCACCTGTAACATAAGCACAAAGGCTGCAGTGGGCCTGCTCAGTGGCTTCGGTGCCGTAGCCCTCCCTCAGTCTGGGAGGGTTTGTGCCAGTTCATTCTCACTCTCTCTCCTCCCCAGTGTATGTGGTGGAAGACCAAAGAAGGGATGACCTGGGCCCGTCCACCTGCCTCACAGCCTGCTGGACTGCTCTCTGTTGCTGCTGTCTCTGGGACATGCTCACCTGACCAGCCTGGCCCTGCTGTCCTGCCAGCTCTGCTGCCACCTCCAACAGGTGTGCCCCATCTCTTCTGATTGCTGAAATAAATGACTAGCTCTGCACAGACACTTCTACCTTCAACACAGTGGGATTCTAGATTAGCAGGGGTTGCTGCTGTTTAATTCAGTGACTTGATCTTTCTAATGTTCAAAATCCTTTTCTTATTGGCCTTTCACAATGTGCTAAATGACTTTCATTTTTTTGGCCAAAGGCTTATGAAATATATATTTATAATTTTTAAATTATACATTCAAGGTAGTGGCATAATGTAACATACCAGTGAATGATTTCTCTGCTCATACCCTGTATGTTTCAATAAATTTGTCTAAACCTCAACTGTCTGAATTATTCCAGATAAAAATCTAAGCCCTGGGCATCTCGGCTCATGGCCACTGCCCAATAGATGAGGGGCCAATTTACCGTTTCGTTCCGGCTGTTACACGAGCTGTGTGCGTTCTACTGGAAGGTAGGTCCTGAGGCTGGGTGTCCAGCCAGGTCATGGGGCCCTCGCTGAGCTAGTAGCCTCTCTCCTTAGTCCCACTCAGAGATGGACTCACCAAGGAGCCATCTTCACTCTTAGTAATTGGGCCACCCAAGGCCTGTTCTGGAAGGAGAGCAGAAGCCCACAGGCAGGGCCAGATCCAAAGCTTTATTTTCCTGCTGTCCCCTAACACCCCAACCCCTTGACACACAAGAGAAAGCTGTCATTAAAACAAGCTAGTCCGCTAGGCCACCCATCTCAGCTTTGGCCACAGGGTGGCGCTGAGGTGCCACAGCAGCGAGACATTTTCCTTCAGCTGGGCTGCCCTGCCAGCCCCAGAGGCTGCAGATGACAGCTCCCTGCCTGCCCACCTTCCCTCCTAACAATGATGTGCTGATAAATATTTAACTACCAGCTCTCTCTTTCAGAAAAACAAAAAGCCATGATTTTGTAGTATCACCTGATTTCTGTGGAGTAACTGGTCCCAGCATAGCTGATTTCAAGCTACCATGATGTCCTGAACATGGAGATGGGAGGAGAAGCACAGGAGTCACCATTATGTAGTATTTCCACCATCCAGACATAACAGACTGTTAATCTCAAAAACACAGATCATGGCCAAATTTAGTAATTAGGAAGAGGTTAAGTTCTGAATATTTATTATCCTTGTTTTTAATGTAATTGTAAAGTTACATAATTTTTTAAAATTATGTGTTTAACAACTAGCTTGCAACAAAATTCCTGAAAATAACTGGCTCTCCCGAGCCAGTCTGAGCCAGCCCCACACAACTCTGCCCCCAGCCTCTAGGGGATCCCTCAGGACTGTAGTGCCCACCTGTGAGATTGGCCAAAGGGAGCCAGTCTTGGAGGTGCTGCTGGTTTACTAGTGAATTTTCTTTGGGAATGTTTGGGAGGAAGCAGGAAAGGAATCTTAGGCAGACTGCCACTGAGGAATTGCTGTCCTGCTCACTTAAACGCAGCTACGCCCTGGTCTCCTTTATTTGCACATTACATAGAGGCTCCGAGCTTGAGGGTTTTACTCGAAGGAACAGAAAGGGGAAAAAAGAGAGGGGAGGGCTTCGATGCAGAAAGAGCAGGGCTGCAGCCCGAGAGGAACAGGGAGGAGCCGAGGCAGATGGCGACTGTCCCTGCCTCTCTGGCCCTCTTTTCTCATCCGTCGGCTCAAGAAAAGCAGGACTTAGCAGAGTGGCACAGGTGCCCTTTATTGGTCTGACCAGCATGACTAGTAGGAGGTTCGGGTGGAGCTCCTCTGTCTGTCCTGGCTCCCACCACCCCCAGGGGAGACGAGTGTCCTGGGCGGGGGTGGCAGGCAGAGCCAGGATACAAAATACAGGGCTGGGATCGGAGAGGGGCTCAGGGGGATGCAGAATATGTAGAGTTACCGGGCCATCCAGATAAAACGTCCATCGGGGCAGAGCAGAGGCCGTTTCCCTGCAGACCCCTCGCCCTTGCCAGGAACGGGAGGTGTCAGGAGGAAGAGCTTTCCCTAGAGGCCTCCTACTGTGCCCTTCGTGCCATCAGCATCTCCCGGATGTTGTCCTCAGCTTCCTTCACGCTGCGCTCCAGGTAGGATTTTTTCTGCTGCAGTGTGGGAAAGAAACAAGGCTTTAACTGGGCCAGATGGCAGATGTGGCTGTTGTATCCAATGGTCATGGCTTTTCCTCTGACCAATAACTTCCAGGAGCATATTGTTGTCTGGGAGCCAGGTACACACACCTGCCCAGAGCTCTCCCCAGATCCCTGACCCACAGGGGGAGGAGGTTGTTTGGTACAGGAAGCAGAAGTGCTTTGGAAGGCAGGAGCACCCTTCCCCTAGAAGGAAGCAGACTCTAAAAACAGGCGCCGGGTACATGAAGTTACACCAGACAGACAAAGGCCAGGAAATTCCCGGACAAAGCTCCGGCCCCATAGCCGACTGTCTCTCAAGGTTTTCCATGGCACAGGCCAGGTCCTGTAGCCACTACCATTGCAGAATGGACAGTGTACCCTCTGCTATGTCCAGCGAGACGACAGGGTTCGTGAGTACTGAGAAGTTTATCACACGTCTCACCAAGGCAGATGAGTCAGTATGAAATCTGCTTTTCTAATGAAACTGCTGCCTGCCAGGAATCCAGGACAGTGACACACTGAGTAAAACAGACCTTTTGGAAGTTTACCTCCTTCCCCATCTGGGTCCTTAATTAAAAATTTCAACTTAGACAAAGAACTTTACTTTCAGGAACCACATGTGGACCAGGATTACAAAAGATTAGTCAAAGGAAATGATGTCTGTACATTATTTGCCCTGTGGTCACCCCAAAAGTATGGTGGCTTCACCACTGGTCTCTGCCCTGAGGACATAGTTGTGGCTGCATTCCCACTTAACAGACATGAAATGAAGACTCCCTTTTTGAGGAATACTCAAAATAACCCCCTCCAGGGGTACGTGTGACTGAGCCACACTGGAGCCAGTAGTAGAGAGCCCTGGCTCGGGCAGCCCAGACGCAGCCAGCACCCTCCTCTCACCCCTGCCCCTTCACCCAAGCAGCTGCGGCTTCACTCTGACCACCAAAGTTCCCAGAAAACCCAGGGAAACCAGGGAAAGGCTGGGGCAGAGGAGAGGTGAGCAGCCTGGCCTGACAGGCCTTGTCTGAGAACTGACTGATCCCCAACCACTGAGACAGGAAAATCAAAATGAATGCCTCTACTGCTCAAAACCTGCACCATTAAACCTCTCCAAGTCTCTGCCTCTAATTTCTTCCACTCTCTGTCTAGATACTTATTAATGATACATTTAGAGACTTTTTCCTTTAGGTGCTAAGTGCTGTGGCACCCACAAATCATTATCGGTTCTTGTATGAAACTGATTCCTGTTGGTCTTCTCCTAACTTCAAATTTCCTGAAGGCTAGAAAGAGCCGTACCTCTTTACTCATCTCCCGTCTGTTCAACTTGCACACAATTCTTTATAAAACAACAAGAGCACCATAAAACAGTTTTCACAATTCGATGGCCACAAATGTATACTGTTGCTAAAGAATTTTGTTTAATTATGCATGGAGTCCTAGCATTCTGATACAGTGGGAACTTACACTTCCTTTGATAAACAACCCTTAGACTGCACTGTGTGAGTTAGAGAGGGGAATACTAGTTACTCCTGACACACCACTGAAGAATGTACATGTGCTGGATGCTGCACAGGAGAGGAGCAGCAGCTAGATGGCAAGTACCATGTAGCATCCAGCCCCATGGGAATCTACGGAAAAGGCTAGCGTGACAAGCGGGGTTGTTAGCAAACAGGGCTGTACTCCTGCAGTGCCAGCCAGGGCTCAGGGACCCAGGTATGTTGCATTCTATCTCTGCCAACATATGATCTCACCGGGCAAAACTACAAACTTAAAACATGAGCAAGAGCTTTTCTACCTACCTGCCCAGGCCTTTGGACTATCAAACTCAGTATCAATTCAAATAAAATTCAGTATCAAATTCAGATCGAAATCAAAGTAATTCTCTTTAAAATTCTTCATTCTATACTGTCTCTTCCTTCTACCTTCCACTTCCAGTTATATGATTTTTTCATGATCTTACCACTGCATATCCTAAAGTTTTCAAGTTTCAAAAAATAATGCAAAATGAACTTGTCTATATTTAAATCTTTAGTTAGTTTAAATAAACTTGCTGAGCATTTAAAAAAAATTTTTGCATTCCAACAGATGGGGCATTCCTAGCACAGAGAGGCTTGTTTTCTAACCATTTCAATAGGTCCTGTTTCATCCTCAAACACATCTAAGCCCAAAAGACCCTCATAATCAAACCCGGACCGAAGCATCTGCTGTAGGCTGAATTATGTCTCCTAGAAAGATATCTTGAAGTCCTAACCCCTGGTACGAGTGAATGTGACCTAAATTGGAAATATGGTCTTTGCAGATGTAGCCAAGTTAAGATGAGGTCATACTGGATTAGGTGGGGCCCTAAATCTAATTATTAGTGTCCTTATAAGAAGGCCACATGAAGACAAAGGGACGCACAGGAGAATGCCATGCATCAATGGAGACATCTATAAGGCAAGGACGGTCAGCAACTACCAGAGGCTCAAAAAAGGAAAGGAAGGTTCTTCCCTAGACCCTTTGGGGAAGCAGGACCCTGCGACACTTTGATTTTAGACTTCTGCTCTCCAAAACTCTGAGAGAATCAATTTCTGTTGTCTTAAAACACCTACTTTGTGGTAATTAGTTATGCGGCCATAGGACACTAACAAAGCACCTGAAATGAGGGATGCCCCAGAGACAGAATCTACCCCAAGGTTCTTCTACACACAGCTTCTGAGCACACTGAACTGTAAAGGCCTGAGTAAGAATCGTTAGAAGTCGGTATGATGGAATACTTCTCTCCACAAAACTGTGGTAGAATTGACCCAAACATGAATTAGGCTTTCAGGGAGGACAGAGAAAATTAAGGAACCAATGATTAAGTCAAATTTTTTCTATAACTACTTAGTCAAACCAGAAATTCTGTGGACCCCAGTCTTCCCCATTTCTATAAATAACAACTCCATTCTGGTAACTGCTCAGCACAAAAACTTTGGTGTCATCCTTAACTCTCCTTTCACATCTGACATCCAACCAACCAACACATCCTGTTAGCACAATCTAAAAATGTATCCAGAATCTGACCTTAATGAATAGCCTAAGTGATCTTTCTTCTTCCCTGATCATCTTCAGTTTCTTCTCCACGGAGTGCCCAGTGCCATCTTTTAACACTTAAAACCCTCCAATGGCTTCTCATCTCAAAGTCAAAGGCAAAGCCTTTTCAAAAAGCCACCTCGTCTTGCTCTCACAGCTGACTCTCTGACCTCCCTGCCCACAACACTCTCTCACTCATTCAGCTCCAGCCACAGTGGCCTTCAGGCTGTTCCTCTTGCCAGGCCTTTGCCCTATGGCTCACTGTGTGTAGGACCTCTCTTCCCAGATATCCACATTACCTGCTCTCTCACTTTGGGCCTTTCTCAAAAGTCACCTTATGGAAAAGGCCTTCTTGATTATGTGCAGCTCCATCCTCCCTATTCTCCTCACCCTGATTTTCCTCCATAGCACCTATCACCACTGGAAGCAGTACTGGTCTGTCTGTCCTCCCTTACAAGAAGAAAAGGTCCATGAGGGCAGGACTTTGTTCTGTTCCCTAACAGAGTCTAGAAGAACAGCTGGTACATAAGAGGAACTCAATACCCGTTGAATAAGAGTGCATTTATTATGGGAAATGATGCCCTGCTGATTTACTTGTACACACACTGCTCCTTCAGAGTTCTCCCTCCCGACTTCAATGCATAAGGAAGCAAAGGCAGAAAGTGACCATTGTCCTTCAAGGTGGTTTGCAGTTTCTGTCACTGCCCTCTAACCTCTGCCCCTGGATATACATAGGTTTAAAACTCGAACCTCACTGAACCGGATAGGGACATCAAAGCCTTGCTCCCACAAACAGAACAGGCCCTAAGGGTTAGGCCTTTATGCCTTATCAGGCCAACTTGTAAAACTATAGAACAAACCATCCCAATTTCCCACATCCTGGAGTCGGATATCCTTGAGAAACTGCTCAGCGTCAGGGCTGCTGTGAGCTACATGGGGGCTATGTAGAATAAACTCCGGGAGGCATTTTAAACCCAAACCTTCCACCAGGAGTCCGGAGAAGGCATTTGCTGGCCTCACTGCAGCATTGTTCTGTCTTGCTGAGCAATCTCCCTCAGAACCCTTTTCCTAGGAAATTCTCTAGTGGCATGAAACCACAGCGTTCTGGGTGCAGCGACATTCTTGTGGGGCCTTGTCCTGACGTGAAATTCTGAGATTTCCTGTGGGGCTCAGCATGGTCAGGGAAATGACATTGTTGGACTTATTGCTCATCGGCCTGAGGTTCTTCTTTCTGAGAGTCAGACTGAGGGGCTGGTGTTTCATTCTTATCCTCTCACGGAGGAAAGAGGCTCAAGTCCCTAGAACTTTTCTGACATGACATAATCTCTCAAATAGACTCCTGAGGTAATTCGTCTTGTGACCCTATCTCTACAAACTTTTTTCTTAGGAACTTTGTTCTATCTCTTTCTCTGAATTAGTATTTTTCCTGTTTGTCATCTCTTGGGGTACAGAAAAGCATTTTATTTTCCCCTCTCACTCTCTATTTCTCCAATTGTAAAATGAGGATCTGGACAATACCAGTGTCCCCACTTCCTCATTTTTCTTTAGTAACGGAACTCTTTTTTCAGATGAACTCTTAAAGACAAAATAAATAAGACAGGTAAAGTGGAGCTCAGGGAAGACAGGAGACAAGGCAGATAAAAGCAGAGCTCCTGGCTTGTCCCCTGCCTCTAATACTGTCTACGGGGGCAGCAGACGCAATAGTCTTGGTTCTCTGTGTTCCTGATGTTCTGTGAGATCTGTGCTCAGAGACCCTTTGCTCTGAGTCCCACGTTTCTGACACTGGGTTTGACCTACGCTGGCCACACATTTCTTCCTCTGCTGAAACCCCAGCTTCTGCAGATCACTACCAACTTCTAGCTCTACTATCAGTCAGAGAACCTGAGGCAAAGGCTACTTTCTCACTGTCTCTCCCATGACTT